AGATGAAGATATTGACTAAAAAGATAAACCTGATATTTTTCAGATTTGCAAAAGTAGAGTATTTGTCATAGACGTTAGTGCCTTTTTAATTATAATTTCACCTACATTGTTTCATTTTCCCTTATAGTTTATTTACTGAAGAAATCTGGATTTTGTTGAAATAATTTCTTTAGTAGTTTTAGTATATCCTTTGACCTTTCTATTTTTTGGACAGTAAGAGTTATATATTGAATCTTGCCAGATTCAGGATGGTTTACGTGCTTCTTTGCTGTTTGTTGATAATACTAATCCATAAATGAGGAATGAACTCCCCACATAAAGGTTTAAAATCAACCTCCTTCTAAATATATTTAGAAATATATTTAATGCAAAGAAACTGTGATCAGGAGGTAAGTCATAGGTGGGCAAGAAAGACAATTTTTCAGAAACATAGTGACAAAAATTCCTTCACAAATAAAGACACAGAAGACACTAAGAACCATCTTGAGGTGCAGACTATGGGATGGTATAGGAGAGTAGCACTCATTTCTAAAATGTTGACAGCTAACCAAGAATCAGAAAGAATTTGGTCACTGTTGTTGCCATTTGTATCCAAAACTCTGAGTAACAATAAGAAAGATTAAGAAAAAACAGCAGGATGTGAAGAGATAATGGTTTCAAACAGAACAAAAGGTCTTTAAACCCAAGATCTTGAACTTTTCATCAGGGAACAATTTCAAAAAGAATGAACCAAAATGCCACCCTCTGTGTGTAAAACAGTAAGAAGCAGTTCTGATAAGAAGCAGTCTATTGTCCCTGCTTACCTAGACTTGATAGAATAAGAAAGAAAACTGAAGTTCAAGTTATACCACATGAGTTTATGTAGGAGTTTGTATAAAGGGCTCATTGTTACCTGAAGTAGTTAGGATGAATAGTGTAGAGGAGGGAGTAAAGGGAATGCTCTAAATTTTTGTTAGAAAGGAAGCAGAAAGATAAGAGGCAACGGATACTTTAAAACATAAGTTGAACCAGAGGAGTTGGGTGAGGAAAGACATTGTAGTGGGAAGAAAGCACTGTGGATTGTGGTGGAAGACTGTGGGTACCTTCATAGTGGATGTGGTGTGGTAACAATCTCTGAAAAAGGTGACCCTATACCTCTAAATTATATAGATATTGTAAACCAATGGTGCTTCAATAAAATATTACAAGAATAAAATCGTATGAACAAAAGTGAGTCACTAGGAATATGCACAAAATGTTCAAGGGACAGTGTAGACCAGCATCTGTGCAGTGCTTTTGCATTAATGGCATACCAGGTAGTTCTAGAGGAAACAATCACTGTACCTTGGTCTTGGCCTAGTTTAACCATAAAACACCATTTAACTTTATTGAATTTATTTATTTCTTCGCCTCTGAAGAGAGTGTTGGGCTAGCTCAGAAGTTTTCTGATTTCTGGGACAAGTTTCTTTGAACACTGAACCAGTTAATTTCATATCTGGGTTAAAAACCAAATCAAAAAAAAAATAAAAAAAATGCTATCTACTAATATAATCATGTTTAAATGAAAATATATTTAAAATGAGGGGAAACAAGTCTCAGAATGTTTATGTGATAATTTACATTAAAACTAATCAGATTGACCTCAGGTCTCATCTTATTTTGATATAGTCCAAGGACCACCTCATGGTGTAGTCCACTTGATTAGCATTGGGAACCATAGAATAAGGAACTTTACTTTTGTGACATTCTAAGACGTCAGCTGGATAATTTCCCAGTTATACTCTGTCTATAGTTTTTGCCAGACTTGAACAGCCAATGGTGCCTTGGTTAGACCATCTATGTATACCACTGGACCTGATGTCAAGGAAATTTCTGTTAGGGATATAGTTGATATGACTGGAAAAATTAACGTGCCTGCATTTTGTCACTCCAAGTTCCTCGAGCTTGTTTATGTCATACAATAATTTCCAAAAAGCATGTGTAAAAATGAAATTAAACTATTCTTATTTATCTCATTGGATTATTTTGAAATAAATAAGGTAATACACTTTTATAAACTTTAAATACATTTAAATACATTTTTATAAACGTTAAAAGTTACCTAAAGATCTGTTTGTTGATTTTTGTTCTTTGACACATTAAAGATTTGCCCATTTAACAAATCAGGTCATATTCTCATACTTTTACTGTTTCTGGGATTAAATTTATTTAAAGTTTTTTTGTTGAAATTAATTTTTGGTAACTTTTTTCCTTAGTCCATCAAATTTCATTGATTTGCCATTCATTTACAAAATGATGAAAGTTTAGGGAAGATGATATAGAGGGGTTTTGATAAGGTGTTCGTGTCTTGATACTGGAGATTTGGTTGTGGGTAAGTTAATATATGGGCACATGTTGAAATGTGAACTATTGGTAAAATGCTGCTACATGAAATCCCAAAAAGGATACGGATTTGGTAGAAATTCACAGAAGTTTATAAAGTTGAGCTTTTATCATTAAAATGACTTTTGAAGAAGTGAACTGCAAAACAGTCCTAAAGGTGGGCTTTTGTTAATACTAAATCTGTAGACTAAAATAAAAATATTTCACCCCACGCAGTCCCTAATTTAAATATTCTAGAATGACAATCTAGTTAAAATTGTGAGCTTTCCATGTATGTTTTTTTTTCTATCCACATCTGAAATTTATTTGAAAGTTGACATTGAAGAAATGATGAGAACCTCTAGAATCTAAGGTTGACAATATATAATAGTAAGTGGAAACAGAAATTAAGACTTTGACAAAAATGCCCACAAAGTAATGATGGGAGGGAGGCAGTAACTTTTATCTAAATGAAAGGAAATGTGCCTTTTCTTGGTTGGAAAATACTAATTATCAAAGATTTGGCAAAAGTGTACCACTCCTAATTGCATGCAATTAGCAAATTGACATTTCTGAAAATAGCAATGATCAAAACTACATAATACAGTTAAATATCCTCCTATAAAGATAGCCCTTCTGGTAATTTGTTCTTTAACACTGGAAACACTTCACTCTTGTTATTTCTCTATGAAATATTTCTGTAATAATTGTTGGGATTGAGTTATACATGTTCAGAATCAACTGCATTTTGATATGCAGATTTATAAAGATAGTGGATCATGAATAAGAAGTTTGACTTTTTCCCTATTATCAGTGTTTGGAATGTTTGGAAAAAAACGTAGAAATAGTTTATTTCAGATAAAATGTTTCATTACATTCATTTTTTAAAAGATTTATGCATACAAAACTGGGGTACAGGCCAGAGGTGCAGTGATGAGAGGATTCACCAGCGTCAGAGTGGGGAGCAGGACAGGCAGATCGAAGACATACACTGCTGAGGGGAGCAGTGAGCGGGTCAGGAGAGGCCCGCCACACCATCTGGATCTCCTCCAAGACTGAGTATCGAGTTCACACTGAGGTGGCTGTGGCCAGCTTGCAGTGCTGCATCCTAAGCTGTTGCGCCACCAGGGAGAGCCTATTACATTAATTTTTAATTTTTTGGTATTATTGCAATAGTCATTACAACATTGCATATGATTTAGAGGCACAAGATCATCCCGTTCAAGTGTTACAATGCCACACCCACCTCCAAGACATGCACGCACCTCCACCATTATCCTTTATTCTTCTCCGTTGTGGTAACATTGCTTTACAACACTGTGTCGGTTCTTGGAGTACAAGGTCACACCTTTTTGGAGCGGTTTTCTAACTCCGCACTCACAGTGTTCCACCGCATTTCGTTGGGCCCCCACACCTCTTGTCACTCATTTCCACACTTCCTCATGGGTAGCCTATTTCTCAGGCTTGTTTTGGCATAGATTTATCTGTTCTTTTGTATGTTTCTTTATACTCCAAACATGAGTGACATAATTGTCTTTATCTTATTGCACAGAGCGTCCCCTAATTCCATATATATTGTGGCAAAGGGGAAGATTTCATCTTTTTTTTAGTAACTGAGTTGTATTCCATTGTGTATATATATTATATCTCGAGTCACCCATCTGTTAAGATGTGTGGATCTCCCTTCATATTAGTGTATTTGTATTCTTTGCATATGTTTACACATTGGAAAGATATCTTCCAGACACATTTTTTTTATATAATCAGTAATACATTTTTTAGCTGAAAAAATGCTATATTAAATTATACTTTCCAATAAGATGTGGGCAATATCTGCATTCCTATGGCCTAATAAATTGATGGTACCTAAAAGAAAGTTAAGAGAATTTTGCTGAATGAGTGAAAGAATAACCTTCAGCACTTTCAATTTCAGATATAATGGCAAGGGGTAGGAGGCATTACTGACTTAATGTGGTATGTTCTTAAGATATAAAAAATGTCATAAATTTGGCTTCAATTTTTTTTAATTGCATCAGTGTGGAAGAAAGCCAATAGAAAAGTAAAAGGCAAAAATCACTTGATGTTTTTCTCCAGTGACATTCGTAATTAGTTATTCAAAATGTCATACATTTTAAATCAAAAGTTTATCCTTACATATCTAATTGAATGACTGTTGAGCTGTTTTTCAATACCATAGAACATTTGGTTACTCAGTGTGTTTACTTTTATAAAAATTCAAAACAATAACTCAGGTTTAAATTTAAAGTCCAAAGTAATGGTGTATATAACAATTTTTAGAGAAGTTATTCTAACAATTTTATTCTTTTTTTTAAGATGTATTTATTTTTGCATACAGAACTGGGGTACAGGCCAGAGGTGCAGGGGCGGTCAGAGGATTTACTAGAGACAGAGTGGGGAGCAGAACAGGCTGACTGATGAAGTACACTGCTGAGGGGAGCAGCATGTGAGACAGGAGAGGTCTGCCACGCCATGTGGGTCACCTCCGGGGCAGGGATCGAACTGGCACTGAAGCAAGATATCAATCTTGTGATAAACTTAAAAATCATTGCACTATCGTTTCCTTTGTAAATACATCCTTTGCGGTTCAGTATTTATTTGTCCCTTGTGATGACTGTATATTGTTTTTTCTCTCATTCTAGGTCTGGACAAAGTGCCCAAAGATCTCCCCCCTGACACTCTGCTGCTGGACCTGCAAAACAACAAAATAACCGAAATCAATGATGGCGATTTTAAGAACCTGAAGAACCTGCATGTAAGATTATTTTAGTTTAATGATATCTGACTCAAAGTATTTTGTTTTAAAAAAACTTAGCTAAGGTTATGAGTACTATATAGTAAGAAAGAAGCACGGAAGTGTCTATTAAATTCTCCTTACAGTAGCCAGAGTGAAAACAAAGCATCATATTCATAACTCCTTAAAAATTCATTCAATTTTTTACTACCCAGATATCCATTAGTTTCTGCTTTATAAAAATACTTTATACCTTCATCTTCTTTTATGCCTCATAAATAAAAAACACTATCCTCCCAATTACATTTTAATTCAGTAGTGTAACAGAACATAAATGGGTTGAGTATAGTATTTTTTTTTAAAGATTTATTTATTTATGAATACAGAGCTGGGATACAGACCAGAGGTACATGGGCAGTGAGAGGATTCACCAGAGACAAAGTGGGGAGCAGAACAGGCAGAGTGATGAAATACACTGCTGAGGGGAGAAGCGGGCCAGTCAGGAGAGGCCTGCCGCGCCATCTGGGTCACCTCTGAGGCAGGGATTGAACTCATGCTGAAGCGGATTTAGATTCTTAGCTGTGCTTTAACCCGCTACACCACAAAGGAGGAACCTGTAGTAGTATTTTCTATCTTTATGTTGTCTTTATTATTCATTCATGTTTCTAAAGAGATGCAGCTGGCTTTGTAAAGTCTCAAGGATTGACACCAAAGGATAAAGAGATAGACATAATCAAGCATGTTTTGGTCAATATAATTCTATCCCTATCTCTCTCTCTCTTTCTCTCTACCTAGCTAGCTATCTATCTCACTCTCTATCTGTATGTCTTTGTGTCTATCTACCTACTTACCTACCCCCAAGCTTATCATCTATGTATCTGTTTTACTATGTAGTTCAGATTATGCATTTTGTAGCTTATCTGCATGCATTTTTATGATGATTTCCACTTATCAATGCACTGTTTTTATGTATCACATTCAGTCTAGCAATAAGGATTCTAAGAAAAGATATGGTACTGTTAATTGTTTCATAGAGAGGACTTTACTGAAAGGAGATATGATATGGTTTAAGAGTGTTAATTTTTGAGCATTCAGAGAATGATCAACGTGGGAGTAAAGAATCTAGAAATCATACCTGATAGATGCAATTGATGAAAATATGAATGTCTAAATTGAATGAATGGAATGAAGTTTTTACAGGGCCATGTTGGAGAATAATTGAATTGACTTGCGTTCAACTATAAGGTTACAAAATTGTCCTGTTAACAACCAAGTAAAATGTCAGGGAAGCAGATCTTCATTCACTATTAAAAACACAATGTAAAAGTTTGAATTTTCAAAAAAAGAAAAGAAAAGTTTGAATTTTCAAAAAATAGAATTGCTTAATGATTAGTTAGCTAACTGTGGAGATAAGTTTACAATGAATGTTATGGAAATAAATCCCTATGGATGGGAGTATGAACAGAAAACTCTTAAGTTCATATCTCTTTATTTCTTCTTGCCATTATAAAAAATTAGGTGAGGGAATAATAGTAAGACAGGCAATAAACTATAAATGGTAGTATATTTATGTTATAAATATAACTAATTAGAAACATGGAACACCTAACAATAATAAAAGCATAAAATAAAATGACATAGTTAATGTGCTAGTGTGTCCAGCCAAAAAGTAGAGTATGGTATAAATTTTGATTATTAGGAACTTTAAAGGAAAAAATAGACATCATTACACATATTCTTACCAGTGTTTTGAAAGAATATAGGACAAAAGTTTAGAGGATGAGCAGAATTGTGAAGACAGGAAAAGCGAGTTTCCTATGCAAAACAAAGGAGAGTTGAAGATACCAAGGAGCTGGAGAATCCCTGGGGGCACAAGGGATTGAGTCAAAGCATCATGAAGCTGTCACCAGCCACTGCAGCAAGAGTTCACTCCCCAGCCAAGGAGTTACCCACATGGCGCAGCAGACCTCTCCTGTCTCACCAGTTGCCCCCCTCAGCAGTGTTTTTCAGCAGAGCTGCCTGTTCTGACCCCCATCTATCTCTGGTGAATCTTCTCACCATCCCCCACCATCACCACACACACCTCTGGCTTGTACTCCAGTTCTTGTATGCATACAATAAATCTTTTTAAAAAAGAAAGAATGGGCACATACAAATACAAGTTGCTAGAATGAGAGATATAGACTGAAACATGGGAGGACAAGGTTTGAGCTAGAGATTGCAAAACTTGGGCCAGTGGCATCCATTTTTAGCATACTGGACTTGAGTCCCAGTTCATCTTCTTTCTTCTCTTTTCATGGTATAATTTTACTAGGATGAACTGATGCTGATCCCAAGAAAGTTTGTCCATGGCTACTAGCTAGTAAAAGGAGGAGTAATAAAAGAAATAACTATTGTTCTCAATAAATTAAAATATCAAAAGCTTCACTTAATTTTTTTTTTTTGAAGATTTATCTATTCATACAGAACTGGGGTACAGGCTAGATTTGCAGAGGGTGAGAGGATTCACCAGAGACAGAGCGGGGAGCAGAACAGGCAGATCGACGAAGTACACTGCTGAGGGGAGCAGTGGGTGGGTCAGGAGAGGTCTGCCACGCCATGTGGATCTCCTCCGGGGCAGGGCAGGCAGGGGATCGAGCTCATGCTGAATTGGCTTAAGCTTCTTTAGTGTAGTGCTTTAACCCGCTGTGCCACCAGGGAGGGCCCAACTTCACTTAATTTTAAGCTTCCACTAAAGCCATATCTTTAAGAAATAAACTATCCTCCTACTCTAAGTCCAACTTCCTGTGTATTTAAGTATAATCTGAATAACTTGTTTTAGAGCTTCATAGCTTTAAAGAAGAAAGGTCTAGTTTCTATGATGTCCTAATTAAGTTTGGCATTATAATAATGTGCTTTTGTCTTTCCCAAGACTCTCCTAACATTATGTTGTATAAGCAACCATCATTTTGGCAGTCTTTTTCTACTTCAAAGTATTCAGTAGAAGAGAGTTTATTAGAGCTTCCAACTATTTAGTGGCTGTTTAAGTGCAATTTTTCTCTTACTCTTTCATTTGTGATCATTTCTATCTTTGTTATTATGCAAATGAACATAATTTCAACTAGGAAAACCGCTTGAATAGGAAGAAATTAAGATTTAGGAAAGAATTCAACAGAAAATATTCCTTTTTTCAATAATTTTACTAATATACAGTCTGTAACTTAATATGTGTGGTACATGTGTAAGAATAGTTTTATATTTATGTTAATAAATCCTAATCTATGTAATAATGGAAAATGGATTATGGTAATATGAACACTATATTTTCTTTGAAGTAAATCAGTAAATCTAGTAGAGAATGTTATTTTTCATAAAAAAACAAAAAAAGTCAAAGATTCAGTAGTAGGAGACATTTGTCTAACAAATATACATTAGGCACTATCCTAGTACATCATATGCATTTAGTGAAATATTTCCTACAAATATTGTTAGGTGAACACTCTTCACAATCTCTTTATACACGTGAGAACATGCACAGAGTGGTTCAGTTATTTGCTCATAGTCACATACACACACAAAAAAATAAGAGCCAGAGTTTTAAGATCTAAACTCGGGTACCATCTAACATTTTGCTATTATTTAATAACAGTAAAGTCTTTGTACTAATAATTCTTACTAAAGTTATAATAACCATAAAAGTCCTTAAAAGTAATACCTTATATAGTGCTAGCCCTTAATACATGACTTTGGAGAAAACTGTATGTATTATTGAGGACTCAATATTTTATATAAAATGAAATAATGTTGACATTAATATTATTTTTTAAAAATGATTTATTTATGCATATAGAACTAAGGTACAGGTCAGAGGTGCAGAAACAGAGTGGGGAGTAGAACAGGCAGATTGAGAAAGTACACTGCTGAGGGGAGCAGCGGGCAGGTCAGGAGAGGTCTGCCGCGCCATATGGGTCAGTTCCTTGGTGGGGGATCGAACTTGTGCTGAAGCAGCCATGGCTAACTTCATAGTGCTGTGCTTTCACCTGCTAAAAAAATTTCTCTTCTGGCTTTAACTGTACTGATTCCCTGAACATTTTGCTAGTTAATGTCTATTTCCTATAAACTCAACATTCCTATTTTTTAACTTTCTGGAATAGTCATTAGAATTTCTTAGTATTTGGTTTTAATCAACTAATGGTTTTGTTAATACTAGTTAAGAGATTGTTACTTATAATTAAGCTTTAATTTGTCAAATAATATGAGCTTCATGAGAATTTTCATGGTTTAATGAACTAGCTTTTACCTTCAGCAAACATTTTTGCATTTCTAAGATTAAAATCATAGGTTTCTTCACTCTAATTTCTTTTTGGTCCCTTTGCACTTCCATGTATACATAAAAGTATATAATTATTTAAACTGAAAATACAAGTTTCTCTAACTCTGATAAAATTATCCTACCTTTCCTAGGATTAGTTGATAAGGTAAATTTAAAAAAGATTTAAAGATGTGTGATTCTGTAGATATACAAATCATTGAAACAGAATGAAGTAGTCCAAAAATCAGTCTAGCAATAACTATACATTTAAAAACAATGAGTTAACCGTAATTTCCTATATCAGAACTCAGAAACAAAAAATTTTAAATTACTGAAAATATGTAAAACCTTTATGTGCAAAAATAACTAAAACAGAATGCAGATATATTAACATTCTGTGTATCATTTAACTTCATCTTTATTTTGTTGCTTGTTTTCTAACCTCTCAGTTTTGTAGATTCCTCTGTTAAGTCAATGAATGCAATGGCTCGATTATTATACGTTGCTTTATATATTTGTGGATAGTTTTGGAATTCAGATGATACTTTTATTTACCTACAGACATTGATTCTGGTCAACAACAAAATTAGCAAGATCAGTCCTGGCGCATTTGCACCACTGGTGAAATTGGAAAGGCTTTATCTGTCTAAGAATCATCTGAAGGAACTGCCAGAAAAAATGCCCAAAACTCTTCAGGAGCTGCGTGCCCATGAGAATGAGATCACCAAAGTGCGGAAAGCCGTTTTCAATGGACTGAATCAGATGATTGTCATAGGTACAGACATTCTTGCAATTCTAAGACCAGGACTCAAAGTTCACCTTAAAGATTCCAAGTAACTTTTAGTTGCAGGAAGGTAAATTAGCTGGAATTTATTTATTTAATCTATAGGAATCCCAATAGCAGGGGTAGGAGAAATGGGACTTTGAACGCATTCCCTGTCCTCGAGAAAATCTTAAAATGTGAAGAAATCTCTGGGCTGAACCTACCCTATTACATCTCCAAGAAGTGGGGTGGAATTAAGTGGTGTTCGATGAGTGATTTTGGGGTGGGGTGTACTTTTCTATTGTTACATTATGAACCTCAAAAATGCATTCCTTTATTTTGTTAAAAGTGTGGTAATAAATAATTTTCTGATGGCTTCCAAAATGTTAGATTCAAATTAGCTATCCCTTTATTAAGATACTTTAAATGTTAACTTGTGACTTGTATTAAACATCTGATCCTATTGATTTCTGGTAAAACTATATAGACACTTTAATTTTATGGTTAATAGCTTTGCTATTTTAAATCTGTTTTTTTTTGTTTGTTTGTTTTACTAAGGGGAATTTTTACCCATTTTTGCTATCCCTTTGAAGTCTATGCCCTTTCTCTTTTGCTTTTCAGTCAAGTTGTAGTGACACAAAGTTCTGTTCATTCTAAAACAGAGCTCTGCTTGGAATTTGCTAAAGTTGTCCTCTAAAAGCTTTGCACTTACTGGTCTTTATAGAACTGGGCACCAACCCTCTGAAGAATGCTGGAATTGAAAATGGAGCCTTCCAAGGAATGAAGAAGCTGTCTTACATTCGCATTGCTGACACCAATATAACCACCATCCCTCAAGGTGAGAGGAAGCTCTCCAAAGCAACTCGAAAACCTAATTCTATTTAAGTTACATTGAAATTATTGTTTTGGAAATTTGAATGATGGCTCAAGTGTATTTACTGACCCTAATTAATTGCTGGGTCATCCAAGCTCAGTGTAGCGATGACTATGCTCTTTTCACCTACAAAATTGCTTCTAAAATGGAACTTAAAGCACAATGATGTCATATTATAAATTTATGATACCCCCAAAGCAAAAAGCACAGGCTTTTAAAAGAAAAACAAAACAAAAAAAACAAACAACCATAATGCCTGGAAACTCTGAAATTGAATCAACTTTTACTTTGAGTCTTTGTGAGTGATTGGGGTGTTATTTCATTTACCTCAGTTTAGGACATTTGGTTACCTGAGTGGAGATTGTGACCCCATTTAGCAGCTAGTTAACATACCATATATGTACCTTTGAGTCTTACTTTCTCAGTTATGAAATAGGATTATTGAAAAGTAATTTATAAATCAAAAGATCAAATGAACTAAGTTTGGTAGCCTGTAGTTATTAGCTTTTTTTTTTTTGATACATAACATATCCAATATGTAGAAGTTCTTTTCCATAGCATCTCCCGCATAAAATATACTATAAATATACTACTATAAACAATAGTGAATTTTTGTAAGATTTATTTATTCATACAAAATTGGGGTACAGGTCAGAGATGCAGAGGGTGAGAGGATTCACCAGAGACAGCGGGGAGCAGAACAGGCAGATCGACGAAGTACACTGCTGAGGGGAGCAGCAGGCGGGTCAGGAGAGGTCTACGACGCCATGTGGGTCTCCTCCGGGGCAGGCGGGGATCGAACTGATGCGAAAGTGACTTTAGCTTCTTAGTACTGTGCTTGAACCCACTGAGCCACCAGGGAGGGCCCACAATAGTAAATTTTAAATAAAATATGGGCTCCCCTTTTACATTAAATAGACAACAGTGACATAATTTAGTGGGGTGCAATGAAAATTGAACACTAAATATAATGTATGACTCTCTAGTTCTTTATGAACAACCAACCAACATTTTGTTAAGCAGATGTTCCAAATGTAACCAATTTGCCATTTTCTTTGAAGCCATTGCTATTCTTGTAAGTGGAGCAATATGCTATTTTAATAGCTGTATTAAAACACAGTGCATCCTCAGATGGCAGGAAGATATAGTAACGAAATCTTTAAACTTTCACATTTTGTTACGAAATTTTTAGAAAGCACAGCTACTCAAGAAGTACTAGCCAGAGGCTTAGCGGTTATTTGGGATCTAAAATTACTACTCCACATGCTCTGCATATGGTAGGGCCCTTGATTATAAGCCTCTGTACTTCTTTTATATAAAGAAACAGTTTCTAATATAAAGTCTGGATAGTCAGCACTTTCTACACCATATTTCAGAGGCATTTGATGTTTCCATGAAGAGTGACAATGAAGGCCAACACATCGAGCATTGTTCGTTACTGACGAGCTCATTCATGAAATACCTGGTACAATTCAAATTAATTCCCAATTATTTAGACATGGTTCCTTTGTCATATTTCAAACATTCATTTCCTTGGTTTCCAATTGTCCTTTGTCAGTGGTGTTGTTACTTTATTAACAGTGGGATGACGAACTAAGTCGGAGGGTTTGGCTTCAGCTCTACATGAGACACTAATAATGGTAAAGACAAAAAGCTAGTAAAAAAGCAACACAGCTATGTTTGTTAAACTAATCTAGGAGAGGGCCCTCCCTGGTGGCGCAGTGGGCTAAAGTACTGCATTAAGGAGCTAAAGCCACTGCAGCATGAGTTCAATCCCCGCCTGCCCCGGAGGTGACCACATGGCATGGCAGACCTCTCCTGACCCGCCCGTTGCTCCCCCAGCAGTGTACTTCATCAATCTGCCTGTTCTGCTCCCCACTCTGTGTCTGGTGAAGCCTCCCACCGCCCCTGCACCTCTGACCTATACCCCAGTTCTGTATGTACAAATAAATAAAAATTAATCTAGGAGAAAAGTAGAAAAAGTTCTTACACCACTTCCAAATATACATAATTATAAATGGAATAAAGGAGAAAAGCCATGCTTGTACTTTGAAATTGTGTATCTTGTGGAAAATCCATGGCATATGCCGAATGAAGCCTGAGGTCTATAGTTATGTAATACCTTGTATTTCCATATTGCAGGTCTTCCTTCTTCCCTTACTGAATTACATCTTGACGGCAACAAAATCACCAAAATTGATACAGCCAGCTTGAAGGGCTTGAACAACTTGGCTAAGTAATAATTTTCTTTCATGACTTCTACTAGTAAATAGCTCCGTGTGTTAGTGCTTACATGATTGATTTTTTACTATGCCACATGTTATAATTTTTAGTAACTTACCCAATTATTTCTTATCAAAAGTATAGTTCCCTTATGTACTATCAATCTATTTTATGAAGACATAATTTTTAAGTTAAGGAAACTTTATAAGGTGTTTGTTTCAATTAGCATGTTCATTCAATACAGTATAACTCAGTTGTATAAAACAGAAAGTTAATATAACATGGTATCTAGATTTTTGAAGCTACCAAACTTGGAAATATTGGACTACCCAATTTATTGTTTGAGTAGTTGTGAGACTTTGTAGCTGTTAGTCTCAAAAGAGTTTCAAATGTCTGTAGACATTTAACGTAGATTACCAAAATATTTATTTCTTCACTCTTGTTTTCCTTATAAATTAATGTTGTCATGCCTTCCAAACTGATTTCAATTTTCCTACACATGCCATGTGGTTAAGTAATAAAAAGAGGAGAGTGCTGGCAAACTACTTCAGTTTCAGTCTTCAAGGAACACCCTACTCTTGAGCTTCATATCTCTCCCATTGTTGAGTGCTCTTACCAAGAAGTTCATGGTAACGTCAAATAGCCTTACTCCTTTTTTTTTTTTATTTTTTTAAAAATTTATTTATTTTGTGCATACAGAACTGGGGTACAGGCCAGAGGCTCAGGGGTGGTGAGAGGCTTCACCAAAGACAGAGTGGGGGACAGAACAGGCAGATCAACGAAGTACACTGCTGAGGGTAGCAATGGGCGGGTCAGGAGAGGTCTGCCGCGCCATGTGGTCACCTCCGGGGCAGGCCGGGATCCATCGAACTCATGCGGAAGCGGCTTTAGATTCTCAGTGTTGTGCTTTTAACCCGCTGCGCCACCAGGAAGGGCCTCCTTACTCCTTTTTGCATGTAATTTTCATGGTAAGTAAATAAATAAAGTATATATACTATTTGAGACATACCTAACAAGAGGGATATACTGTAGCTTTCCAATTTTTATTGATACTCTCTGATGATCCAGTTGCTAAAGTGAGCACCTGCATGTGACTTTAGGCACAATAAGACCTTGGTGTCTCAAGTAATGAATCCTTTATTTAAGACCATTGTAATTGCCATTTGCAATGTAGGCAATATATTTTGCAACAATACTAAGCACCATCTACTTTTCTGATTGAGTCACTCGAGCTGCAAAACAATGTGAGAAGGTAAGTGTCATTGCTTTTTGTGTAGAACTGCTTTTAAACCAGTTATTACTATTGGATTAGTTTGTGGTGGTAGTAGTCATGCTAGTACTAATAACACTAGCAGGGGATATTATTCTAAATTTCTAAAACAGCAAGTCATTTATAATATGTGTATTTTTTTAGAAAACTGAATTTGGAATAAAAGTGGTATGAAGACTTAGAGATTCTACACTTTAAACCTGGAAAAGATCAATCAAAAGGAAGCTTTTTATCTAAATTAATTTTTGAATCCATTTGTTAAATTAGAGCAGATTGTCTCATTGGCTAATCAAACTTTTGTAACTAATTTATCAAATTTCTTCATGGAGTCAAGTCCAGGAAGATCTATTAAGCCATCCAATCCTTATGTTGTTTTCTCCTCACTGATATTGGCTCATGAGAAGAATTTTGGTGTTAAAATCAAAACTGACAATTGGGAAAAAAAAAAAAAACACTATCTCAGAACATTGTTGTAGGGCCAATATTCAATACCAGTAGTTACTAGTATCTAGTGGGGGAGAAAATAGTATATATCCTGCTGCAAAATATAAAATGGTCCTCAGGCAAATTGCCCTTATTTTTCTTATTAAATATACATATATATTCCTTTATTAAGTGAAATATTTTTGAGAAATGTTAATTTTGAGACATGTGTGCCATTACAAGTCTAAGATAATATCCTGAATATAGCAGATTAATTTGTTCATTGAATATATAAAATATATCACAGAAATATATTTCCTTAAGCAAATTATTGGAAATAGAACCAGGTGTTTCTGACAGAAATAGATGATCTTTGATGAAGCAGAGCATAACACTAATTGTAGTTAGCCTTTTTGGTAGGCCGGTTTATTGACTCATTAGAACCTCATTAGATGTTTTTAGAAAATTTTATTTGCAAAGTGACCAAATTAATAGTATTCCTTTCAGTTTTCTCTCATTCTTACATTATATCCATAATACATAGAAATATTTTCAGCTGTGTTTACTATGCCAGGCTTTGTGCTCATGGTGATGTGCCACATTAGGGTCCCATTCATGAGGAAAGACACAGTTACAAAGTCCCTTGCATTTTGCAAGTGGTTTTCAATAAGGTGCATTTATTAGGAGCACATTGCCAGCTTGGTAATATCAGAGGTGTTAAAGATAAATGGGCTGTAGCCAAGCCAAGAAAATTTGGGGGAAAAAAAACACTTTAGTCAGAGGGAACAATAAATGAAAAAAAAAATGTTTATTTCTATTGACTAATTACTCAGGCACCCCATCAACTCTGTAATGATGTAAGAAATCATTTCTGTTCCATTGCAGGTTGGGACTGAGCTTCAACCACATCTCTGCTGTGGACAATGGCTCTCTGGCCAACACCCCTCACTTGCGGGAACTTCACTTGGACAACAATAAGTTAATTAAAGTCCCTGGTGGGTTGGCCGAACATAAGTACATACAGGTAATACAGTTCCAGAAAGTACTATGAGGAATAGCTAGGGGATAAATCCTCCTTATGGAATGCTATAAGACAGGAAATTCTCCTTAGAAATCTTCTTGCAACAATATATTTTCAAAGTTTCCACATAATCATTCTAGCTTTGTGAAAAATATAGTTACAACTATTGACTATTCTAAGTTGTGAAAATTAATTTTTCTTAACCATTACATTGTCCTTTTACATAACTTTATTTAAAAAGTCTATCATTTTATCTTTGACCTGAAAATGTACTATTACATGAAGGTGTAATTTACTAAATAACCGTTACTTCATTTATCCATTCAACTTACATTTAGTGAAAACCTCTGGGTTTCAGTAAGGCAATGCCAGTGTAGCTGTGACCAGGACAGGACCTGCTTCTTGTAGACCTTTTATTCTAGAAGAGGATAAAAATACGTAATGTGAATATAGTGATACTTGCTAAATAGGAATACATAGATATATAGTTGAGACACAGAATGGGATGGGCAGTAAGTATTTCTGTTAAGAAATGAATGACACAAGTCCGCAAGCCTTACAGACAACTTGGAGAAGACTTTTCAGTGTTACAGAGGAGGAACAATCATTTGTGGATTAGATGAGAGGCAGGCAGGTCACAGTAGATTGAGTAGTGAGAGGAAATGAGATACGAGCAGAAGAATCACAAAATCAGTCAGCCGTTGTGAGATTTTTATATATAATTTTACACGAGATGTGTGTTGAGGCAAAAAAAAGGACTTGTAAGTGATCCTTTTATGAGCTAAGAGAAGAAAAATGAACATACACTATGAAAGCAAAGGATGAGGACACAGGAAGATCAAATTAGGGCAACTTTAGTGACCCAGAAGGCAAGAATGGAGGCTTTGGATATGGAGGTCAAGCCAGAGTGTGACAGATTTGTTGATGATTGGGGAGATAGTGTGAGAGAGTCAAAAATAATGATACTGCGTTCAGCTCGAACATCTAGAATTAGTGATAGGCCATAAAGTGGGATAGGGTTCCTAAAGAAGGGAAAAGCAAATTTGGAAAGAGAAATGGAAAGTTGAGGCATAGTAACAGATTATGGGTGCCTTGGTGATGAATGTGGCATGTTAACAGACACCAACAATGTGTGATCCTTTACTTCTGAATCCTGTAGGGTGGTTTAAAATGTTATCACAACAAAAAAATACAGTAGAAATGTTAATCCATTGCAACTGAAGCGTGACAATGCTGAAAATGAATACCTACACAAGAGGCATCGGTATGTTCAGAAGGAAAATGCTCACACCCACTACTTTATGTTACAGGTTGTCTACCTTCATAACAACAACATCTCCGTGGTCGGCCCTAATGACTTCTGTCCACCTGGATACAACACTAAAAAGGCCTCTTACTCGGGCGTGAGTCTTTTTAGCAACCCAGTCCACTACTGGGAAATCCAGCCCTCTACCTTCCGCTGTGTCTATATGCGTGCTGCCATTCAGCTCGGAAACTACAAGTAACTCCCAAGAAAGTCCTCACTTTTAGAACCTGGCAAATCTCACTATTACTCGGAAAAAAAAGAAAGTTAGATACTGAAAACCCAACTGCAATGTGGATGTTTTTTCCCACAGACTTATTATGCATAAAGCCAAACTTGCAGTTTAAATAATTGCCTACAATAAAAAAAGATATTTTGCCTGCCATTTTCAGAATTCTTTTTTGAAACTTTCTGTTGATATTAACTGACTTATCACAGATATTTTTATTTCACAAAATGTAAAATTTGGAGTAAATATATGTAAAGAACTTAACGCTTTTCAGTTTGCAGAAAGAATCTAATGAAAAAGTTCAATCTTCTGTAACTTAGAGTGGTTAGCTTTTTTGACAAACATCAAACGCTAGTTCTGTATTAATCCCCATTATTACTGGTAAGGCCTCAGTTGAATATGTAAATTCAATAAGGCTATGTAAAAATTTTTGCTAATGTCATTATTTTGAAAAAAAATAAATTTACTAATGCCTTCAAAAACAACTGTATAAAGTGTAATTATAAATCTTCCCAAAATTTAATATTAGCTGAGATTAGATATTACTTGCTTGATAAAAATCACACATTTTATGTACTCTCGTTTTTTTCTAGACCTGAACTTGACATTTATGTATGGGAACTGATATTGTCTATTTTCAATGTTGAGTTGAAAAGGCACAAGGCCGTCTTTTTCTGACTAGTCTAGAAAACTGATATTTTCACTTACCAAGATACTAAATCATTTTCCAACAACCAAGTTGGAAGGAACCAGGCTGCTTTCCTGAGCAGTTTTATAAGTACTAGGTCTATTGCCTTTGGATAAGCATTGGATTTTAGACATCTTTTCTTCAAAATTTAGAAACCACTATTAAAGCAAAACATTCAGCAAGCTTTGGAATGGGCTCATTTACAAGGGTAAACATGATCAAATAGTACATTTACACTGTCAATATCTAATAAGCAAACAGCTAAAGAGAGTTTGCTTCTTCTACAACATTAGGTGCTTTATTATTGCAAATACTACTGACCAAATCCAAAATGGTCTAAACTAGAGAAATATGCAAAAGTCCTGTTAGATGAGCCTTTAGGTACAGCTTGAGCAGAGATCTAGCAGAGTTTCTATGCAGCCCTTTCAATTTTACCTACCTTTACTAAATTTTCAGGATGATTTCCCTCATGGTCATAAAATATGACTCTTCCCTGTTACTCTACTCAGGACACAAACGCAGAATGCCACATACTAACATAAAATTTCCACAAAAAAAAAATCTTGAGTCTATAACTGTTTCATACCAACTCTACAATGATATGTGTTAATGTGTAAGTATTGTTATGTGAACTGAAGAGAAATCACTTTCCTGTAAACTAATACCTGGTAACATCTAGCATTATTTGTTTATTTCTTTGTAAAAGTCAGAGTTTGGGAGATAAGCAAACTTACCACAGGAGCGTATGAGTGAAGAGAATTTAGTGTGAGGGAACTCTTACCACATAAACAAGGGGTGGTGGGACACCCAGCCATGATAGGAAGACAGACGTACCATATAACGGAATGGAAGGGGAAGAACTTACAGTGCTGGAACCAAGTGGAGGATTGCTGTGCCCCAGGGGCTGTGTTCTGAGAGGAATGCAACTTCTGCCACAGATGAGGTACTCTGCAGGGTGTCTGTGGGCTCTACCACCTCCCATCTCCTACTTCAGACTCTTACTGATCCAACCTATTGACAACCAGCAGAAAGGTAGGGAGATGAAGTCTCCTCTTGCAGCAAGACAGAAAGGAAAGGGGGAAAGGGGGCATACTGATGTGGCCAAGACATTAATTGTCACCATAATCATAGTCGTAGTGCATAAATTCTGCCAGTCACATGGTTTAAAGTAATACTCACATGTCACCCAGGTACTTTTCATGATCCCACTTATTCCAATAGGGACTGTGAGGATTGAATTAATTATCTCAGGCTAGGGCCTTCCTGATGGTGCAAGGGATAAAGTCTTAGCACTATCAAGCTCTCACCAGCCACTGCAGCCAGAGTTTGATCCCAGGCCAAGGAGCTGACCCACATGGTACTGCAGTCCTTTCCTGTCTCACCTGCTGCTCCCTTCAGCAGTGTATTTCAGTAGATCCACCTGTTCTGCTCCCTATTCTATCTCTGGTGAATCTTTTCACCTCCTGCACCTCTGGCCTGTAACCCCAGCTCTTATATGCATAAATAAATAAAAATAAATTTTAAAAAATGCTTTCAGTCCATCATGGACAGTACATAACATTTCATCTACTTAGCACATATTTATTAAGGCCAACAGTGTACCTGACACTCTCCTAGTGGTTGAAATATAGTAATAAATAAAGTCTTTCCCTCATGAAGGAGGGGTTCCAGAGCAAGACAGATGCAAGGGAGAAAAATAAAGACTAGAGAAGAAGGAGAAGAAGGCAAGTAACAAGATAGGACTTGCTATTTTTATATTGGATGAAAAGATAATGAAATGTAGATGAGGCAACATTTGAATAGAGATACATGGGAGAAAGCAATAAAATAAAAGGAGCCCTAAATTAGGAAGACTCATAGTGGGTTCTAGTAACAGCAGAGAGTGAAGTATAGAGATAAGATAGAAGATGTGATGTGAGGTCAGAGATCTATCTATTGGGAACCTAACTCATGCAGTCATTTTTTTTAAAGATGTATTCCTTTGTGGGGCAGAACAGGCAGATTGATGAAGTACACTGCTGAGGGGAGCAGCAAGAGACACAGGAGAGGTCTGCTGTGCCAAGTGGGTCACCTCCCTGGTGGGAATCAAACTCATGCTGAAGTGTCTTTAGCTTTGTAGTGCTGTGCTTTAACCTGCTGCACCACCAGGGAGGGCCCATGTGGAACTTTTAAGCATTTTTAAAGATTAACTTTTCTCATGAGAAAAACAGAAGGCTATTGAAGGATTCTCATTGGAGGCATGGCTGGATTCAACTATCTATACTAGGACATCTCTGTCCCTGTGAACAATGGAGGTATCAAGATGGATCCACAAAAGATAATCAGGATGTTACTGCAACAATCTATCAAGTGACCATGGTAAATCTTTATCTGAATAAAGCAGAGACAGTGGTGGTGTCCTCAGAGGGTTAAGAGGACAAAGAAGGCTGAGAGGTGATGGGTGGTGGAAGAGAAGAAATGGAGATTGGGATGATGTCACAAATTGGCCTGGGATGGTGAGTCGTCATTTTCTGACACAAAGAAAGACTGATAAGGTTGAGTAGAGGGTATAGGTATCACAAGTTTGATTTGGGATCTGTTCATTTGGAGACTCAATTTCCTTGTAAAGATATCAATGAAGCTTTGCTGCTAGGAATCTAGAGCTCAGGAGAGAGGGTTGGGCTGCAGACATAAATTTGTAAGATGCCAGAACAGTTTTTTTTTTTTTTTTTAAATCTCATAAGTGACTTGAATTTATCCAAACTAAACAATCACACTGTACATGTTAGCAACACATTTTACAGGGCCAATTCTGGCCTTTTGAAATATTCTTGTGGTTTCTAGGATAAATAAACATATGTTTCCCTCTGGATGCCTTTGCTTGATCCTGTCAGCATTTCCAAAACAGTCCCTGCTTAAACAACACTGAGAAAGAAACGCCTCTTGAGGAGAAAGGACTTGGGATTTTTTTTTAATCACAGTGTTTTCTTTCTTACCATTTTAAAAATGTGTAAAAACAGTCCCATTTCTTTTTCCCTCAAGAGCTCACATAAACAAAGTCCAGCTTGGTGCCTGCTTGAATGTGGGTTGATAACTTGCTGGTGGTTTGACAGTTATGAATAAACAGACCCGTATCATAAAGCAAGCATGTTGCTGAAATCGCAGGAGGTCTTTTTGGACCTCAGGCATTGTACCAGCTCATTAGCTAGAAAACCATGGAAAACTGTATGACCTCTACAACCAAAGCCATTATTCATAAAATCCCAGCATACATAATTCTGTAATAATTTACACCAATCACTGATTTATAAAAATTCCATGGTCACTTGATCTGGCATTGATACGTGAAAAAGAAGGTAAATAACTTATTTTGAAATACTTTCTTTTTTCCCCTTCTTTTCACAAAACCAGTTGTGTTTGGAGCACAAGATTGATGCGGGTATCTTTGTAATCTTAGTGTGCTCATATGAGAGAAAAAAAGGCTTTGATTAATTTGATCATTCAATTCACTTATTGTTTTCATTCATACATTTACTCCAGACTTGGATTATGACAGGAACTATGGTAGACATGGAAAAAAAAAGTATTTCATTATTGTATTATATCTGATTTATTATCACATATATATTATATATCTTATTACATGTTACATTATGTATTTCCCTCTGGTAGATAACTTTGGAATGTGAACATTAAATGTTATTTCAGTGAACTTTTAGAAATACTAAAGAAATAACGTAAGTCCCTAGAAGTTTTTTTGAGGAAACAAAATTCAACTTTACTACATACTCACTCATGATTAAAACTTACAATGTTTAGTTAATTTCCTGTGACAGTCCCTGACTTCAGAGCAAACATCTGGAACCTGTAAGAACTACCAGGCCACCTACAAATCACGGGACAGCTTTACTGAGATCTTAGAAATGATAAACAAAGCTCATAGAGCAGATGTTTCTGGATGCTGTTATTATGATGAAGCCCTTTTCACACTATCTGGACAGACAGGGGTGGTTTCTCAGGGCACTCTTTCTGGTCCTGGCAACTCTCATCAATAAATAGATTAGAGATGTATTTATCTGTGACAAGTAACAATAGATGTAGTGCATTTCTGAAAGGAAGAATTAGTGCAGACATCGCCAGCTACATCTAGTCTGGGTTGAAAGTTGCCTGTGCATTCACAAAACACACATTTTCTCCAGAGTCAAGTGTCCATTTTGAAACTCCTTTCTTAGAATGTCTTCAGCTTTGGTTTTCTGGACTCTTGCTAGTAGCAGATTTGAAGTTTGAATGTTTCCCCCTTGCTTTACCATCCATTTATTTTCCAGTTTTTTTTTTTTTTTAAAGATTTATTTATTCATACAGAACTGGGGTACAGGCCAGAGATGCAGAGGGTAAGAGGATTCACCAGGGAAAGAGTGGGGAGCACAACAGGCAGATTGACGAAGTACACTGCTGAGGGGAGCAGGGGAGCAGCGGGCAGGTCAGGAGA